CTATTGATGAAAGACAAAATTCAGTTTCCATAAGCGTTGCAAAGAGCATTGCTGACATAATTTTGGGTGTAGATAGTAGTTAGGAGTCTCTTCTTGTCTGCCAAATTTTTCTGTTGTATGACATGATTGGATTTGGTTCGAATGTAGTGCTTTTGGGAATTTTGTTCTCGCACAGTATCTTAAGTTTGTATTCTACTGGCACTTAACTCTACAAATGATGCTTGAATATATCATTTATAAAAGGGATTGATGCATTTCCTTATTTTATAAGGATAATCCACTGCCATGGGTGAAATGTATGAGAAGCCTCTTTTGTCCAAAATAAAGAAGTCGTGGAGTCTTTTAAATGTCTGCTTTTTATTTTTTTTACACAAGGGTCTAATCTCTAGAAATTAAAGTGTTTATCTGGTTAGACAGATACTAGCAAAGTTAGCGTACATACTGATTTTTATGTAGTGTTTTTTGTTTTTGTTTGTTTACAGGATTTTTTGCCTTTTTCCTTTTTCCTTTCATCCACTTTTAAGTCTTGTGTGCAAAGATTTTACAATTGTTCATTTATTGGTAAAGATGTTTACAGCTGTTCGTTATATTGGTTCAACAGGTAAAGATCTACACTGGTATACAAAAGACAAAAAAACTCAGAATGCAGAAATGGAGGCTGCAAAAGAGGAGATTAAAAGAATTAAGGACGAGGAGGAGCAGGCTATGAGGGAGGCTCTTGGCTTAGCTCCTAAGCGTGCAAGCCGAGGTCAAGGAAATCGGCTTGATAAGCATGAGTTTTCAGAACTTGTGAAGCGAGGCTCTACGGCAGAGGACTTAGGTGAAGGGCACGCTGAAGCAGCACGTGTACATGGTCTTGGTTTTTCAAGGTATGTAACTGAACTGAAAGTGAAAATAATTAATGTTTAAGTGGTGCCTTGGCTTCTTCCTCTTTTTTGTATGTAGTACTAGCTCTATCTAAATCTAGTCATATTGTTGTTGCTGGTTTTGATGTTTTGTCTAGTATAGGTTGGGAGGTGTATTTCTTGCTGCATGATGATCCACTTCGATTGTACTTTCCATTTCTATTAATGCAATTATTCTGTTTACTATACCAAAAAAAAAAAGAGAATACGTTGCATGGTTTTCATAACAATCGTTTTCTGAGTGTTTTAAAGAAAATTGAACAATTTGGACAAGATGTCCACTGGATCAGCAATTTGGAGAGCTCTAAAATAGCACCAACAACCCAGACCAAGCGGGTTGGGTTGGTAGGTTGGCGGGTTAAATGCCCACCACTACCAGAACACCACGCCCAACACTAACCACACCACAATCTACGAGCTCTCTAATATCCATTCAACTGAAAAAATAGTTGATAAAAAAAAATTCACCTGAACAAATGAAATACCATTGCGATGACCCCACATAACGTAGTGATTGAAGTTTTTATGCCATGTTCAGGTTAAAAATCAATAGAGCCCAGTACTCAATTGCAGGTATTCACACTCAATAAGTGGAGATTTAGGAGTTGGCAAAGGTCTTGGACTGTGAGGTGGGAAGCTGGCCTCTAAAGTATTTGGGGTTGCCTCTTGGAGTGAATCCAAGAGCAGCCAATTTTTGGTGCCCGGTAGTGGAAAAAGTGGAAAGAAGGTTAGAGGGCCGAAGTAAGGCCTTGTTTGTCAAGAGGGAAAAGGATGATTTTAATCCAATCGGTGTTGAGCAGTTTCTTAAGTTACTATCGGTCTCTTTTTAAAATTCCTTGTCGTGGAAGGGAAGAACAATTTGGTGAGATGGGAAGTTGTGTCTGAAACCAAAGAAAAAGGAGGTTTATGGGTGGGTAATGTAGTAAAGAGACATGAATCTTTGGTAGGGAAGTGGCTGTGGGTATTCCAGACAAAGACAACTACCCTTTGATATGCTTTAATAAAAAAGTAAGTATAGCTTATCTGAGAGTGGCTGGGATCCCAAAATTGTGGCTAGAGATTCAAGTTGATGCCCATGGACAGATAATTCTAAAGGGATTGCTTATTTTACACCTTGTTTTCATTTCGGGGTGGGAAATGGGGAAAGAGTGAGGTTTTGGGAAGAGATTTGGGCAGGGCAAACAGATTTTTGTTCGCTACATCTTCATCTCATGGATTATCCCAGTCTCTTAATTGGTCTGTTGCAAGAATGTGTGAAAATTCGTCTTCTTTGCCTTTAAGCTGGGATTTTGGGTTTAGAAGACATTTGAATGAACCAGAAGTGAGAGAGTTGTTGTCGTTGCTGTCAATTTTCACTTGATTGTTCCTCATAAAGAAAATAGGAGAGTTTGGATATTGGAGTCTTCGAGCATTTTCACTTGTAAATCATTCTCAAAGCATTTTTTGGATAACCCTGCTTTCTCTATTTTTGCTCCCTCCTTTGTTATTTGGAAAGCCAAAGTGCCTCCCAAGGTACGACTGGTAGCTTGGTTAATTTCTCATATGAAGATCAAAACTTGTGATATGGTTCAAAGAAGGCAACCCTCCGTTTCCCTGTCTCCCCACTTGTGTGTTATGTGTAGAAATGCCATGGAAAGAAAGGCCTTGGAAAGTATGGATTACTTGTTGCTGCACTGTCCAGCGGCTTCTTCTTTGTGGTTTCGGTTAATCAAGGAGAAAGGTTTATGCTGGTCCATCCCCGTGTCATGTAATGTGCTATTATGTGAGAAGTTTAGTTTTTTTGGTGGAAAGAAAAGGGGTGTAGTTCTGGGGAGATGTGCTATGATGGCTATTTTCTGGGTTCTATGGGTTGAAAGGAACAGAACGGTTTTTGAGAATATGTTGAGTGAGGAGGTTGATTCTTATGGGATAGAGTGCATTTTTGGGGTCTTTGTGGGCATCTGTAGTTTCAGAGTTCAGGAAGTTTATCTTTTTCTGTCGTTTTGTCAGATTGGAAAGCATCTGTTTTGTAGCTCTCTGGAATTCTGTTCTTGTTTTGGTGTTCTCCCTCCCCTAGGACTGAGGTGTTAGTGCAGTTTGCATGTTTAGTTTTCTTTTAGAAGTGGACTTCATGTTCACTTTTGTTGTACTGTTTTATTTTTAATAAACATTCACGTTTCATATGTACAAAAAAACAATGGCCATGAAATCAACTTATGATGTAGAAAATATTAGGAAAGGGACTCCAAGGGGCCAACATGAGATCATGAGAAAGGAATGGTTGTGTTCAAAGACTGTCATGCAGCTTACTCTGCAGTTGGGATGAGTATAATAACGTGGGCGAAACACAACAGGAAATGGAACCAACAAAACACATCTTATTTAAGACTTTTGGGATTCAACTCTGTAGATTGCATTATTTAAGACTTGTTATTATCTGGGTCATAAACACGGTGATAGCTGATGTCATAAGCTCAGCCCTAAAACTAATTTTTGAGGACAAGCCTTACCATGGGAAGGTAGTATTGATATATGATAATAAAAACATGTTTTATACATAACGATTTACAATTTATGTTTATTGGTAGTAAATTTACGTTCATATAACCTGCCTGCTGTGTAGTCTTCTTTTTGTTTTTGTTGGTGTGTGTTTAGTACTTTATGTTTTGCCTTCCATTGTCTTTTTCTTTGCGTAGCTTAATTCTTCTTGATCTGTTTTGCCCAATAATTCAAAATTTCGTCTTGATCTCACTGCAGAGCACCTTGCCCTTGGGATGAGTCAAGTTCCCTTCCATCTACAGTCAAGGATGTTCCACCTGAAATGGGAAACATGACTGTGCCTGATTCACCACCAAAAGAAAGAAATAAAGAGGAATTAGATGACGAAAGCAGTCGAAAGAAAAGGAGCCGTGAAGAGAGAAAGCAGGAGAAGCATGAGAGGCGTGAAAAACGCGAAAAGCATGGAAAACAGCATTCCTCGGATGAGAGAAGGAAACACAAGAAACACAAGGAGAAGAGGAGACATGATTCAGACTCTGAATAATATTTCAAGGTTTTGTGAAATATTGTCACAACTTTGAATGGAGATTAGTAAGTTCTTTGTAAACCATACATGAACTATCTACTGTATTTTTCGGTGCTGATTGACCGGAAATTCATAGTTGGTTTTAGATTTTCTGGTTGGCAGATGGTAACCTTGGGTTTAGTTTGGACCCTCTTATTCTGGAAAATAACTGGAATAAATTATTATATTTGCTGTTGGTGTTAGTTTAAATCATGTGCAATGCATGTTAATTTGGACCATCCGTGCCATGTAATCTATGGCCCTGTCGCCTATCCATGCTTGCAAGGGGTCCTATTTCTTTTTTCGTTTTGTTTTTTGTTTTAAGACAATGAAACGTTTCCGAATTGCAGTGGAGAATGCTCAATGTATCAATGTATTAGGAAAACAAAAATTTGGGGACCCTGTGATCGCACCTTTGGCTATAAAAACCTTCATATATATGCTAAGTTATTGAGAGAATCTTAAACACATAGTTATATATATGTCATTGATTTTTGAAAGTTGTGTCAAAGTTTCAATCTCTCCCTTTCCCATTCTCTCTTCCCTCTCTTCCCACCAAAAAAAACAACGAAAAAACCAATAGAGTTTCAAATTCTAAAATCAAAGCAAAATCCTTACTACTTATATTGGCTTGCTATTAGCACCCATAGAATTTCATTTATCTCATTAATCAACGCAAATTCTTTCTGTCTGCGTTCTCAAATGGCAGGCCTCATCTCTGAACTAGACCTCGAAGACCTCGATCAAGCTTCAAAGACCAAGAATTCGGAGGACCCACCTGCCCCTGTTGATCCCAGAGACTTGACGTTTGCAGATTCGTTCTGGGATTTTGCGTCTGGTTTAAGGATATACCAGACCCTGATATGGCAGAAACAGGGGAAGTCAAGGTTGAGGTGGTTGAAGAAGAGTATTGGAGAGGCAAATGGCGGTGAAGGCCAAAGGCAAATTCTTAATGTGTATGACCCAATTGCTTGTGGGTCTGAATAGACTGCCGATGGGTCTGTGCCAATTGGTTGTGTGGAGGAGTGTGAAATATCAGAAAATTTGAGTTGTTCTGTTGACGAAGAGCTGGGGAAGGTCAGTTTGCTTGGAGGGTGCGATCAAAATTCGGTTCTTGATGGTGGGAATTGTATGAAGAGTGAAACAGTGAGTCGTAATTCTGGAGAAGGAGAACAAGAGAATAATGAGAACGGGAATGAAATTTCGAAGTCCAAGATTGAGGATGAGAATGGTGCAAGAAAGAATGCAATCCTATTTAGAAAACAGGAACTTGTGTCTCTGTAGGAAGATTTATGTGATCACTGCGAACATAAACCAGGAATCCTAACAAATTAACAATGTAGGAAAGAAGTATTAGTTACTATCTAAAAAAGAAAGTAAATACAGCCTTGAATAAAAATGGAAACTAAAATTACCTGACCGGAGAAGGGAAAAACCTCTGTATAGACTCCACAACTGAGGGTTAATTCCATAATTTGCAAACCTTTCCTCTTGAGATTCTTGAAACTTCAAATTAATCTCTCTCTTAGTTTTCGTTGCTAGATTAAGCCTTGTGCATTGCCTTTTCTTCAATCTCTCACCCATGGAGAAAACACGAATCATCCCTTCATTCTCCCATTAACGGAAGTCCTATTACTATTCTTAGTATTGTTGGAGGTAGAATAAGAGGAATTAAACCTTTTCTTTTAAGCATATAAGGCTCACATATTATTTTCATGTAGTTGTAGGGAGGAGCACGTGTGGCCTTGTGACGGCCATACTTACTACCCCAGATGAAAATAATCGTCCCTTGTATACTACTAAAGATATCCTCCCTTTTTATCTCAAACATTGCCCTAAAATCTTCCCCCAATTTAGGTGTAGTTAATTGTTGACAGAGAGATCACATTATTGTACTACGTACCTTTCGTATGCAGATGATATTTCTCGTACAATAGCTCTCTCATCGTTAATATCACACATTATTTCGAACTTTTAGGAGGACCCAAATATGATGGGAAGTATTTACATAAATTGTTGACCGAAAAACTAGGAGACAAACATTTGCACGACACATTGACTAACGTTGTAATCCCAACTTTTGATATAAAGCGGCAACATGCAGTTATTTTCTCCAGCTATCAGGTTTGTTTATTAATTGTCTCTTAATTCGAACACATATATGTATATAATTTAATCCTTTGTTTTGCTCTTTTTGTGAATAAATAATTAATTCCATAACTTCCATAACTTCAACTGATGGTGCCATCAGTGAGATTGAATTCTCTTGATTCACTAGTTGAAGATATGAAATTAAATTGATAGGCTGGAAAGTAGTACGGGGTTGTTGAAGTTCCAATGCATATATCTAAGAGCAAAGCAGCTAGGCTGGGGTTCTTTTTCAACTAAAATCATGACCAACATATATATATATATACAAAATCAAGAATTATTTATTTATTCACAAAAAGAGCAAAACAAAGGATTAAATTATATAAATATATGTGTTCGAATTAAGAGATAATTAATAAACAAACTTGATAGCTGGAGAAAATAATTGTAGGTTGCCATTTTATATCAAAAGTTGGTTAGTCAATGTGTCGTGCAAATGTTTGTCTCCTAGTTTTTCCTTCAACAATTTATGTAAATACTTCCCATCATATTTGGGTCCTCCTAAAAGTTTAAAATAATGTGTGATATTAACGATGAGAGAGCTATTGTACAAGGAAGATCGTATGCATACAAAAGGTACGTAGTACAAGAATGTGGTCTCTCTACCAACAATTAACTACACCTGAATTGGCGAAAGATTTTAGGGCAGTGTTTGAGATGATGGGAAGTATTTACATAAATTGTTGAAGGAAAATCTAGGAGACAAACATTTGCGTGACACATTAACTAACGTTGTAATCCCAACTTTTGATATAAAGTGGCAACATGCAGTTAATTTCTCCAGCTATCAGGTTTGTTTATTAATTGTCTCTTAATTCGAACACATATATGTATATAATTTAATCCCTTGTTTTTCTCTTTTTGTGAATAAATAATTAATTCTTGATTTTGTATATATATGTTGGTCATGATTTTAGTTGAAAAAATACCCCAACCTAGATGCTTTGCTCTCGGATATATGCATTGGAACTTCAGACTATCAATTTAATTCCATAACTTCAACTGATGGTGCCATCAGTGAGATTGAATTCTCTTGATTCACTAGTTGAAGATATGAAATTAAATTGATAGGCTGGAAAGTAGTACGGGGTTGTTGAAGTTCCAATGCATATATCTAAGAGCAAAGCAGCTAGGCTGGGGTTCTTTTTCAACTAAAATCATGACCAACATATATATATACAAAATCAAGAATTATTTATTTATTCACAAAAAGAACAAAACAAAGGATTAAATTATATAAATATATGTGTTCGAATTAAGAGATAATTAATAAACAAACTTGATAGCTGGAGAAAATAATTGTAGGTTGCCATTTTATATCAAAAGTTGGGATTACAACGTTAGTCAATGTGTCATGCAAATGTTTGTCTCCTAGTTTTTCGGTCAACAATTTATGTAAATACTTCCCATCATATTTGGGTCCTTCTAAAAGTTTGAAATAATGTGTGATATTAACAATGAGAGAGCTATTGTACAAGGAAGATTGTATGCATACAAAAGGTACGTAGTACAACAATGTGGTCTCTCTACCAACAATTAACTACACCTGAATTGGCGAAAGATTTTAGGGCAGTGTTTGAGATAAAAGGGACGATATCTTCAGCAATATACAAGGGACGATTATTTTCATCTGGGGTAGTAAGTATGGCCGTCACAAGGCCACACGTGCTCCTCCCTACAACTACATGAAAATAATATGTGAGCCTTATATGCTTAAAAGAAAAGGTTTAATTCCTCTTATTCTACCTCCAACAATACTAAGAATAGTAATAGGACTTCCGTTAGTGGGAGAATGAAGGGATGATTCGTGTTTTCTCCATGGGTGAGAGATTGAAGAAAAGGCAATGCACAAGGCTTAATCTAGCAACGAAAACTAAGAAATAGAGATTGAAGTTTCAAGAATCTCAAAAGAAAAGGTTTGCATGTTGTGGGATTAATATTGAGCTGTGGAGTTTATATAGGGGTCTTTTCCCTCTCCGATCAGGAAATTTTAATTCCCATTTTTAATCAAGGTTGTATTTACTTTCCTAGTCCTATTGTAATTAGGACTTCTTTCCTGATCACGTAAATCTTCCTACACAGACGCAATCTTCTATTTTAAAATATTACTGCATTCTTCCCCGCACCATTCTTCTCCAGAATTACCGACTCACTATTTTCACTCTTCACACCATTCTCACCGTTAAGAGCCGAACTTTCTTCATACCTTTCACTCCTCATACAATTCCCACCATCAAGAACCGAATTTTGATCGCACCCTCCAAGCCAACTGACCTTTCCCAGCTCTTCCCCAATAGAACAACTCAAATTTCTGAGATTTCACGCTCCTCATTCTACACACAACCAGACCCACAACCAATTGGCAGAGACCCATCAACATTCTGTTCAGACCTCTCACTCTCTCAGTTTCTTTCCTCTCCAACCATCACCTGCCACGGTGGACGATTCCCACCCACCTCCGCCACGACAGATCAGCCCAAAGGTAACTTTTTTGTTGTTTCTTTTTTTTTTGGTTTAATGACACTTAACATGCTTTTGTTTAGTTTTTTGGTGCAACTTTTTATTTTGATCCGTAATATTTGGCAATGCAATTTGTGGTTGATTGTGTGATTTTCTTAGGGCTGAATACATTATAAATTTGATTTTGTTTTGATGTTATGGAAGATTCATTTGCCTAACTTGAATTGCGCTTAAAGTTGAATTGCTTGATAAGTGTGGTGCGTCACTGATAGTCTGCCCACTATGTAGTGGATAGTGGGTTCATCAGTTTAAACCTTACTCCAGCTTTCCACCTGTGTGGGAGGTAGATTGATTCCAACACAATATCCCTTTTTTGTAGGTCCAAATGAGTAACTTGTGTGGCAAGAGGCAAATTAGAATTTTTTTTGCCTGTGCAAATATACATGTGCAGAGGCCAATATACCATTGCTGGTGGCAAATGTACCTGTGCAGGAGGAAAATCAGAATCGTTTGCCTGCACATTTTCGACCTCTGCAGAAGGCAGATTGAGTCACCACAATGTCACTTTTTTATTTTTTTATTTTATAGGGTTAATGTTTTCCTTTCCTCCAAGATTATGCTCTAATGAGCTGTCTTTGCCCCTCTGTTAAAACTTCAAACTTGTTTGTGCCTATATTTTCCCTCTGTTTTTTTTTTCTGATGCACTATACATTTCTTGTTCCAGTACTGTGCATGTGTATATCTTCTTTCTTTTTTGTGTATGCAGTTGTTCTATTCCAGGCCCTTTTACTTGCGTTGGACAAGACAGTGCCGTCTCACTTCGAGTTCCTTCCTTCGTAGTAAAATCAGATGATAGAGGGCCATATCGTTGCATTGTGCCTATATATATATAATTTGTGTGTTTGTTTATCTTCTTTGCCTGTATTAAGGTATTAACTATTAAGTGTATTCATTACTGTTCAGTTGTATTTCTTTAGATGTGTTTGATATTGTGTATATGTTTGTGCAGGCTAGTAGTAGCACAGAAGCTCCATTTTTTGAAATTTAAATGGCAACTCAAAACATAAAAACAAATAGTCAGGAAAAGTAAATGTCTAGTTGGACAATGGTCAATGGGATAATTTCAGAACAAAAGAAAAATGTGGACTACAATAGATAACCAGTCAATAAAATAGATTGCAATTTAATAATCTCTGAAGTTAATTTGTCTAATTAGTTTATGCAGTGACATTTTTGTTGGTGTTTGACTGGTATGAGTTTTAGTTTATCATTGATTTTTCTGCTCATTCTTTGTCTTGTTGTCTTCAAGTATATTTGCATATCTTGTACTTACCAATTTTTTTTTCCTTATTTTCCTAATTCCTAGTTCTCACTTGTGTGTATTCTAATTTTTTATTTTTATTTAACTTGTCTTGTGAATGCTATAGGGTTAATAAGACAGCTTTTGTTGAAACTACTTGTGGAAAAATTGATGATTGAAGATAGGAGATACTGAGAGTATTGTAAAGTCTAAGAAGACATTTTTTGTGACTGTTGGAACTACTTGTTTTGATGCTCTTGTTAGAGCTGTGGATACGCAGGAGGTTAAAGAAGAGTTGATAAGAAGAGGGTATACCGAGCTTCTCTTTCAAATGGACCGTGGATCTCATATTCCCACAAAGGTAATTTTTAATTTTTAGGTCCTATTTATTTCTGCATGAATTATGTGATTAGTTTTTGTTCTTCACTTTCTATTGTAACATAACCAACTGTAGGGGGGGAAAATGTGAATGTTTAAAGAATGCATTATCCAGTTTGCTATTTATATTCGAATTAAAGGTTCTCCGCCTTGACAAAAGCATAGGAACTGTAGTGGTGATTTTTAATTCCTGTAGTGAAAGAGAAAGAAAGTAGTTTTTCTGCACTCCAATGAATATCAGAGTTCATCCAGAAAAAACTTAGGGGGATTAGTTGAAAGATTATTAAAACTTAGGGGGATTAGTTGTATTCTTCACTTAGACTCATTAAGCCTGGCCACAGTCTACTAGATTCGAATTTGGATGGTCACATGAGGAAAATGCAGTTGATGTAGCAGCCCAATGGAGTAGTAATGAACAGTGTTAAGTGAAATGTCTATATCTACTATACATTCTTCTTATAATATATATATATACACACACACAAACAAATACACACATACACATTTTTTTTAATGGGTTTGAAATTGATTTGTACTTATTTGTATTTTCTTTCCCTTCCCCCCACCATTTTTTATAATGCAGCCTGAAGGAGGATATGGGTCTCATTCTTTAGACTACTACACTTTTTCACCCAGCATTGCAGACCATCTGCGAGCAGCATCTCTTGTGATCAGTCATGCAGGTATAATTAAATAGTGTGATGCAGGACGCGTAGGACCTAAATTTATTAGTTTCCTAATGTATTTGTTAGTTTCCTAGATTCTCTAGTTTTCTAAATTCTAGTAGGATTTCAACTTTTCCAGATTTCCAGATTTCTAGTTTTAAGTTTCCTTTTTTATTTGGGTTAGGATTTCTGTTTAAGCAAGGGATTTTTATCCTATTATGTCTAGGATTTAGTTTGCTATAAATACCCCCATGTGGTTCTTTAAAATGCATATTTGAATGTTGAGTAAACCTTTTCCTAGAACTCTCTGATCCCTTCGATCTATATTTCTTCTCCTCAATCTCCAATATTCTTCTTTGTTCTACTGTTTCTGCTCTTTATCTCATCTTATCAATCTATATTTCTTCTCCTCAGTCTCTTATATCCTTCTCTATTCTATTGTTTAGGTGCCTAATCTAACACCTACAAGCTGTACTACATCAATTGGTATCCAGAGCCAGGCCTCGATTTCGCTTGTGTCTACTCTCTGACATGGCACCCCAAACCGTGGCCAGCCTTGCGGAACAATGTCATGAGTTCCAAGACAAAGTTTCTGACGATATAGCCCCCATTGAAACCCAACTCTCCAAGCTCAGCTCTGAACAAAAAGAAGAGTTGGTACAGGTTCACAAACATCTTGCGACAACGGACCTTGCCATCAACAAACTCCAAGACTCTGTTCAGATGCTTATTAATCACTTTCGGGCTGGAAAGGCGGAGCCTTCTTCTACCTCAGCGGTGCTCTCGAGTTCATCTACGCCGCCGCCGAAAAGTGGCCTTCTGCCCAATCCACCAGTGGATCAAAAACTCAAGGCTGTGCCATATGGCATGCCGCATACCTCAACCGGTCTCTCGCTCAGCACGCCCGAGGCTCAATTGGATCCCCTCTTTTCTTTTGGGTCTATGTCGACGCCCCATTATACCCAACATACAGCGTGCCCTCCTCCAGTGACTACTCAGGCTCCTACCCCGCCACCCGTTCGACATGATCAGTACACTCATCTCCCTTGCCATTTTGACAACGATGCCATCCGCCACATCCAGCCTACCGCTCTGAGCCACATCAAACTCACCGCTCTTACTTTTGATGGTCGTGGGGATCCTACAATGTTTCTTGATTGGGTTCAAGCCATGGAAGATTATTTTGCCTGGTTCAACTTGACGGATGCTCATAAACTTCGTATTGGTAAGATGGCACTACGGGGAGCCGCTAGACAATATTGGAATTCCATGGAGGAGCAACTCTATCAATTTGGACGGCCGCCTGTGACTCTATGGAACGAGATGAAATTGAAGCTTCGCAAACAATATGTTCCCACCTTTTATCTAGAGCAATTGTTTGATCAATTATGGACAATTTCCCAAGGAAATTCGACCGTTACTGAATACCATGCTCGTTTTATTAAACAGAAAGGACGTGCGGGGATTCGTGAAGAACCAGGAATCACTGTGTCTCGCTTCATCCATGGTCTTCATAACGATATTAAACATGAAGTCTGTCGGTTTGATCCTCATTGTTTGGAAGATGCATATTGCCACGCATTGGAAGCTGAAACATATTTCCAGCCTCAACATTCGGGGTATTCTGGCCAGCCTGCAACCGCCAACCAAACTCTTCCCACTACGGGTATGCAGATGGGGTTGACGGGGTTTTCAGGACCATCTAACCCTACTGCACCGCCACCTAACAAAGGACCAGCTGTTTCTACTAATGCTCGCATTGAATGTTTCCCTTGTCATGCCAAAGGACATATTGCCTCTCGTTGTCCGCAGCGAACTTTAACTATCAACACTCCCGATAGTGAGCTTTGTGAGATTGTGGAGCCTCTCAAATGTGTCTATGATCCAAACATCAATGATTGCGGACCCTAGTCCCCTATTATTCATACTTTCAGTCAGCGTCATCGTCATTAATTTACATTTTGTGGTTGTTTACTCGTCGGAGTCGAGTTCTTTTCGCCGAGGGAGAATGATGCCTTACGCATAGGACCTAAATTTATTAGTTTCCTAATGTATTTGTTAATTTCCTAGATTCTCTAGTTTTCTAAATTCTAGTAGGATTTCAACTTTTCCAGATTTCCAGATTTCTAGTTTTAAGTTTCCTCTTTTTTTTGGGGTTAGGATTTCTGTTTAAGTAAGGGATTTTTATACTATGTCTAGGTTTTAGTTTGCTATAAATACCCCATGTAGTTCTTTAAATGCTGATTTGAATGTTTAATAAACCTTTTCCTAGAACTCTCTAATCCCTTCGATCTATATTTCTTCTCCTCAATCTCTGATATTCTTCTTTGTTCTACTGTTTTTGCCCTTTATCTCATCTTATCGATCTATATTTCTTCTCCTCGGTCTCTTATATTCTTCTCTGTTCTATTGTTTAAGTGCTTAATCTAACACCCACGGGTTGTACTACATCACAGTGTCTTCTTATGTTTTGACATTTGATTACCATTTAGGTATACTTGAATTACTGTTACTGTTGTCTTATACAACTGCCATTCTTCCATGTGCACATACAATTAAAATATAATTGGATGAGTTCAATTTTTAGAATCCAACGGTTCAAATACATGTCTAGTATTACCAGTCATCTGAACAATTACATTTTAGAAACCATTCTAATATAAGGGTGCATGATGTGTTGTTATGAGGAAGGCCGACAATACCACAATTTAATTACAAAATTTATTATATTCTATGTATTTTTGTTGTTTGACATAACTCTTAGAGCATATTTGTGCATGAGGGCTTTTCAGTTATGTAGACGTCCTTGTATGGAATGAAAATGGAGCATAACTCTTCTTTTTTCTTATAGCATGTTCGTGCATGAGAGAGTGTCATTCTCTACATTACTGAGGTATATATCAATGTGTGTATACATAGAGTTCTTTTGGGGCCCACTTCACATTATAGTTCCATCATCCAAGCCGCCGTCTATGTTTCAAGTTTTCATTCAAAGATGAACTTGAAAAAAATCATGCAAATTGTAAACCATCAAGTCGTGTAGTTCTCATGAAACAAATAGAAGAAAAAGTTTTTTTTTAAGAGAAAAATTAAAATGACTGCATTCTGATCAAATGGTCATGAATTTTCAGATTTTGGTTTTTTATTTCCTGAGATAATCTATGAATTAAGACTTGAAAATTAGACGGTCGGATCATTGACATACAATGCAAGGTGGGTTCTACAACAGTGTCCCTCATATAAGTTTATTTGAACAATCTCTCAATTAAAGCTCCATCTATATATATTTTACAGGGATAATTGTTAGAATTGCAAATATTGCAAGGAAGCAATTGTGAAAGGCTATTCCTTATGAGAACTTATTAGCTACAATGCATTACTTTCATCTGTCCTGTTTCTCATGTTCTGAATGTGACACTAGAATTTTTATTTGAGTGCTTTTACTTCTGCAGGAAAGGTGTATCGTTTCCCTTGAGTCTTTTAAATTCATCAATTTCAATGAATTTTCTTTAGGAAAGTTTTGTAAAAATAGAAGTACAAAGGAAGAGAAAAGTTTGCTGATTACGAGTAATTTCTTTGTACATATGTTGATGCTCGATATTTGATTGGCATAAATGTTTTCATGACTGTTTTGCTGTGGCGCAGTGTCAGGGAGCATATTTGAGACATTGCGGCTTGGTAAGCCCTTAGAGCAGTTCCAGCGGAGGGCTGAGCCCAAGGCTGGGGGGAGAAAAACAAAAAAATCTTGTTCCAGCGGACAGCCCAAGTCCGGGCAGGCTGTGGGTCCCAGCAAGTCGGGCTGGCCCGAAGGCCAGTTCAGCCCGAGGTTGAACCCTTGTTTTGGTGCTGACGTCATTGCTACAGTACACTACAGTGCTATGCTACTGTGCCGCTAAAGTCCACGTGTCGTGCTCTAGGCTCTCCGATCAGATTTTTTTCTCCAATCCAACGGCAGCCAATTTTTGTGCAATAAAAAAATGAAAAAAAATCGATTTTTTTGCATTACTTTCATCTGTCCTGTTTCTCATGTTCTGAATGTGACACTAGAATTTTTATTTGAGTGCTTTTACTTCTGCAGGAAAGGTGTATCGTTTCCCTTGAGTCTTTTAAATTCATCAATTTTAATGAATTTTCTTTAGGAAAGTTTTGTAAAAATAGAAGTACAAAGGAAGAGAAAAGTTTGCTGATTATGAGTAATTTCTTTGTACATATGTTGATGCTCGATATTTGATTGGCATAAATGTTTTCATGACTGTTTTGCTGTGGCGCAGTGTCAGGGAGCATATTTGAGACATTAGTTTGTTGTTCTTTTGCATGCAATATAGATGCATGATTTAACCTAGGGACAATCATATGCATATCTATTAAGGGCACGTTCACTTATCAGAAATGAGTGTTGGAATTATTCCAATTCCTTCGTATAATTGGCAGCTTCTTAGGAGTGAATCCGGTGGTGCAGGGACTCGTAGTTGTAGAGGTTGGTTTACGGAAAAGATTGGCCTGGTTGCAGAGGGTTGAAGCAAATGAATTAGTTTGTCTAGGATCTCAAATCCCACTGATACCAGATTAGGAAGCCATGATTTCCTTTGGGTAATTGGAAGAGTATTTAACATAAATGAGTTGGGATGCATCATGTTCAGTTTGGGGTTGGCCCAACCAAACTTTATTGCAAACCTATGTCAAGTAGCAGCTGATTTCTCCCTCTTACACCAGGGACAAGTTCCAACGCATGGAGATAGTGATGCTCCACTGTTTTAGGGGGTCAGGCCTAATTCAATGTCACTCTCAGTTGTAAGAAGGGTAGAAAAGGTTCCATGTATCACCCAAAAAAAAAAGTTTTCACTGTTCTTCCTGAGGGTTCTAGGTTCGATCATCCTTTTCCCCCAATGCGATAAAGAAAAGGTTCACTATATGTTATTAATTTCTTTTTTAATGATATGATTAATGAAGGGATTATGTTACTTATTACTAAATGTTGTTTTTATATTGACTGGGACAATGAATGACACTGGGACGGTGGATTGGCATGCAAATATCTAAGGCATTACTATCTTTCTCCTTGTTCTCTGGTTTGAAGCTGCTGTTTTATTGTTTATTATGCTAGTGCAATTACAGTTGGCACACTTGCCACGTCCACTTCAACTGGTGAATAAAGTCATTATCCACACAATGTCTTCAAGTCATTTGAGGATAGAGAATCAGAAAGTTTCGGAATCTGTAGATTGCTTATGAAAAATGCTACAACTCGCCCACACGCGCCGGTGGACCAATGACACAGTCGTCACGCATGAGCAATTGTCTGTAACACAAATCTTTGTTTATAATTGGGAAATAATGATTTTGAACGGAGAATGGATGTGATATCGTGCAAAAGCTTCCAAGACTTTCTGATATAAAAAGACAGAACAATTCTCTAGAAAATACAAAAGAAGAGACGACTCATGTGAAGAGTCATGTGAAGAAAAGACCAATTTTAGAGAAAGAAGGAGAGATGAAATCCAAGCTAGAAGGGAAATTCAACTCCCTATACAAATTTACACCTCACCATTGCCAAACTCACCTCTCTCTCTCTCTCTCTCTCTCTCTCTCTCTCTCTCTCTCTCTCTCATTTCTTCTGTTTTGCATTGCTCTTTCGGTCTTCGTGCTCATGGAAGTTAACACCACTGCTGAAAAACACCACAGTCATCATAAATACCACCTTTCACATTCTCAACCCTATAACCACCACCACCACCATCACCATAACCATGGAAATTTTCCTTCAAAATATACTCTCATTATCATGTCCACCAGCTCAGTTATGCTCCTTCTTGTTATATTCTTGATCATTTTAATCCTTCGACGGCTCAAGTCCACCAAAAGTTACAATGGCAAAACTTACAGAGAGAATAGCAGCATCAGCAGCAACAAAAGCAGCAGGTTCATTGCTCAAACCTCAATGCCCACCTTCAATTCCAGCCCAGGTAATACACAGAAAAATGAATGGTTCTTCTGCTCAGAATGCTTTGATTATTTATTTATTACAAGCGATAATCTAAAAAAAGGGGAAGTTTCTCACACACACTACTAAGGTGCCATGGAGGTTCGAAACTACTGATCTGCAAGTCTTCCACTAGGCTAGACCAAGTTGGCAGAATGCATTTTTTTTAATTAACAGAAAAAATATGGTTTTTAACAAGCCCATTATGGAATTTGGTTGGACATGAGTTTTTTCTGTTCCTCCAGAAATTCTGATATTGGCATGTGAAAATGTGGCAGATGTGAAGGGTGGGTGCCTAAACCTCCAAGGAGGGGATTCTCGAGGGTCAGTGCTTAAGACACCAGCAGAAATACTCACAGCACCAAGCAGATACAGAAGAGGAGGAGGAGGAGCAGTCCAAGTGTTTTCATACAAGGAACTTGAGGTGGCCACTGAGAAATTTAGTGAAGCAAATGTGATAGGGCAGGGTGTGTTTGGGGTTGTGTATAGGGGGATCCTCAGAGATGGGACTGTGGCTGCAATTAAGATGCTGCATAGAGAAGGAAGGCAAGGGGAGCGTGCTTTCAGGCTTGAGGTGAGTGACTTCATTTATTACTATTATTAGCTTTTTTGTTCCTACTTGCTTTTTATCCAATATCCATCCCTCTTTTTGGTGTATTGTCTCTTCTTTTTCAAGTACATTGGCTTTAAAATGAATGCCCTTTTGTCATTTTTAGGTGTAAGCAATTTGTACTGTCCACACAAACAATTTGAGCACAATTGCATGATATATAACGAGGGCATTGCTAACATTTTTGCTTAATTGCAATATAATTCTCTCTCTCTCTCTCTCTTCCGTGTATCACACGATGTGTAAAAAAGACACAACCGGTGTATGAGACGGAGATAGGGGAAGCTATGACCTAAGTATTTTACCTAACCACACTAAAAGAATGAAAATCTTGAGGACCTCTTTCTCCAACACACATTATGCTTGCCTTCAAATGTTTTGACAAAAGGATTATTTTTCTATTTTAAAGAATGCGTGTTTGTGGTATAT